CTCTCTCTCTCTCTCTCTCTCTCTCTCTCTCTCTCTCTCTCTCTCTCCGTCTCTCTCTCCGTCTCAAGTCCTCCCGTCAGACAGGTGCCCACGCAGCTGCCCATCAGCATCCTTCAGACGTTTGTCTGTCACACCGAGATGTTAAGCTATACTCTAAAGTTGTTGGCAAAGTTTTTTTAATTTTCCACTCCTACATTTGGCAAGGTGGAAAAACTAAGTTAAACAATCTTTAGAATAATGGCGGATAAGGATTTGTTAGGCATATGTGTCACACAATTAATACCAAAACTTCAGTATCCCATGTCTGCAAGCACATATCCAGCAGACCACAGAGGAAGGTATTTGTGTGGCTGTGGGAGGAGGGTGTCTGTATATAAGTTGAAGAAACATTTAAATGTTTGCAATCTGCCAGCTGGCCTGTCTAGATAGCCTTCACATCCTGGTGCACTGCAGTGTCAAAGCCTAAATGCACAGAGGATGCACTCCCGTAAATATTTTGATTCAGCTCCATCATGTAGTGTACACACACATCATGCTTGGGCTTGCAACTTACATTGCTCATCTGATTCAAAACGACAACATTTATTTTTAGACTGAGAAGCGAGAATACAAGCTGGAGGAAAAAGGGGATTTGAGACTGAAATAAATAAATAAGAAAATTCCCAGCAGTAGACATAATGATAGGAAGCACTGTGTTGATTTTTTTATTATTTTTTTTAAATCAAGCATCTATTCAGGTCTCTGGTGAGGCTCTCACGCTTGCTTACACAAGCAGAAGCTTTCAGTGGCATCAGCAGCTGCATTCATGCTTTACAGGTACGCTGCAGGCTCTCCACACAGCTGCCTCTGGCAAAGTACCTCTGACTCCAGGTGCACCTTCCCTCGACACCTCAACACCACCCTCACTGCTTCCAGTGTCGGTGCCAGAGACAGAAACATGGGTCTTGGCTGATAACCATCCTTAGACATACAGCAATCTGAAACAGTCACTTTACACATTTTCAAGGGCCACAAGTAGCTCTTTACACCATTGAATAGTTCATGCCACCATACCTCACCTACGCCTCTAATACCAATACCTTAACACCTCCTAAAAGCTGCCAGACAACCTCCCACTCAAACATTTTCCACATGTACCACCTTTAAAAAAAACAGCTCTATGCTTTCCTTTCTCTGTCGGCAGGTTATAAGAGACCTATAGCCCGTTATTCAACACTACCACGTTTTTTCTTTCAAATGGGATCAAAGACTAACTGGGACAATTCCTCCGAGCTCCAGGCTTTATCTTCTGAGCAGCACTGAGTGACAAGAAGAAGCTGCATTTTATCCCATGCTCCTTCACTGTTTTTCCCCATCTAGCATTGTACTGCTTGATTGTACTCTTATGAGTCACAGAACTGCACCTGCACCCATGTGTTAAGTACTGTCAAATAAAAGCCCAGCGTCCATTTACACAACAAAGAGATGTAACCCGTGAGGCAACCATTCTTTGCCTCCCTCCCTCCGTCTGACAAGACCGCAAATATATCACTTACTTAAGAGGAAGGCAGAACACGTTCCTGCTGCTGTCAGAGACTGCTTCTCTCCCTCATGCCCTGACAACCTTCTTTTCAAATATAAATCCAGAAACAAAACACATGCCAGCCTTTTATGTTGCACGGCCTGTTCCATATTTGATTTCAGAGTAACAACAGCAGAGATGATGATTATCAAAGCTCTGAAAGGCAAATCCTGTCTCAGACTCCCTCAACAAAAAATAAGAAAAGAAAAACCTGTTCATTGTTTAAGGAAATAAAAGGGTGGGATTTTGGTAAACCAGTTGCTTCTTATTAAAAAGAAAAGAAAAAAATCATTGTCTGGTACCAGTTCTAGGAATTTAAGGAAAGGCTTAATAAAACCTTTGCCAATCCACCAGGGTTTTAACAATGAACATCTGACTTACTGATTTATGCATATTAATGAACTCCAATACCCCCTGTCTAAGCGAATGCAAGCTGAGCTCCACACCTCTCTGCATCCTAATGGTTTCTGCTCCACCGGGATCATTACCAATAGAAATTTCAGATATTCTGTGCTATTAATCTCTGTCTGTCCTCCTGTTCGGCTACGTAATGACTAATTAAACATCAAAAGAGCAGAGCTGGGGATCTGCTCTGACAGCCTCTCTTTCTCCCAGGAGAGGCTGTGAGGAGGCTAGACTGTGACAGGGCGGCACTGAAAATCAATCACCTCGCGCTGCACACGTGTTTGCAAGCACACGCGCACACTCATGCGTGTACACACGAACACACATACAAAGACAACAACCGTACAGACAAAAATGTGCCCTACAGAGACGTGTTCATTCCAATATTAAACAACAAGCATAAAAAGTCAGTCTTAGATTATCAGGCAGCTCTGGTGTCACTGCACAGCCACACAAACAACCAAATTCCCATCCAAGAAGTGAGGGTTTGAAGTCAAGAGCGCTCTTTGTGTGCAAGTGTGGAGAGGGAGGGTGCGTAAGTAGCATAGATGTGTGTGCGTGTGTGTTTGCTTAAGTAAGCTCACTGTGAAATCTATTTATATGAGAGGTAGATGATCTTCCACTCACAGATGAAGGCAGGCCAGGAGGGACCTTGCGAACCTTCTTTGTTTGTAGAGGATCTGTGGAGAGATGAAAGCACATCCAGTCATTCACAGTCCAAAAAAAAACAGGTGACTATGAATGTGTTGTAAACAAGCCGTAGATCACTATCAAAAACCTACTTTGTGGTATTGTTCTGTATAAAGTATTATTTGTGACTTAATCGTGACATAAACAACCTTTAAAAGAAAATTACAACTTCAGATACCAATTGTGAATGCCACAATACACTCAATCCAGAGTGGCACTTGGTAAAAGCAAGTTTATCCACTTGTTAATATACGACTACACATGACTGCTAACATATTGTTGTCATTTTTCATTAGTGTCTGAAAGAAACAAAAGTTTAAGACTTGAGTGAAACTGGGTCGACAGGAAGTATCCGGTTAGATTTTGTTTATTGTTCCGAATATTTTGAATATTGCATACACTTCCCTGAAGAGAAAACTATATAATATAATTTTCAGGGCATCTTCCTTATAATAATTGAGATGGCACTGACCGATGGGTGGAGGATCTTGCAGAGGACGTCTTCTAGGATTGGCTGCAGTGAAGGAGTAGAAAGGAGCTGCTGACTTCCCTGACGGAGTCACTGGACTAGGACTTGCCAACGAGACGTCTGACCTTACAGAAGAAGACTGACGGAGAAAACAAAAACACAAATGCTTAAAATGAAAGGATAATACCAGCTTTCGTTGTCAGAAATGAGAGTGTTTACCTTAGTTGTTTGTCGTAAAAAGTAACAATCTTGTAGTCAGCTAGTAATTTCAAGCCCCATCAACTACATTGTTTTAATTGTCTCTATTTATATCATGCAATCTACATTCAACTTCAAAGACAGTTTTGTCCTAAATAATACATCAGTAGCAAAGCACACAGGCATTAACAGTGTGTTTACTCTAAATAGCAAATATCAGAATGTCAAAATCAAACATGAGACATGAAACATTGTTGCAATGGATGTACAAATTGTTTTTTAATTGACTATCATATCACTTATTAGGTGACATGTGACATGTAACTCTTGTTTATTCTGTGTCACAGGACGGACTGCGGAAGCTCCCCGCAGCATCCTATCACCAATATCTACTTAACCTCTACAACACCGACAAACTGGGCTAAGAGCCCAATTAAGAGCTTGGTCTAATTAGTGTAATCGGCTGCAGACCAGCAGAGCAGGGATCATGTGAGCGAGCAGAGCGATGTGAAGTATTTGGCTCGTAAACTCGCCTCATGTCGGAATCAGCAGGCTGAGGGTTGACACAGTAACCCCCGAGACCTTTCCAATTCTGACAAAACAATTTAAAAATAAACTCTATTCAGTGTAAAGAGAACATGTATGAAATGCTCTATAAAAGAAATTCTTTCTCTGACCTAAAATGTAGGTCATGAAAAACTGTCAGAGGCAACGTGACACAAATGTAATGTTAAAATGAATCAGGTCAGGTTCAGTAAATTGACAATGTGTCACTGGTGCTACAGCATTCACATGACACAACAGACCCACTTCTGCTGTTGCCTTTGTTCAATGATATTGAATCCCTGCAGCAACACTGGCTCTGGCCTCTTTTACACTATAGTAGCTATACAGGGACGAACCACTGAGGAGTCATGCAAATTTGGATGCTTGTGACTCTCTTTGTGAACACTTCAGCATTAGTTTCATTCATGCAAGAACCAGAGAATCAAACTCTTGCAGATTAAAGACTTTGTCATTCATTGAAGCAGCTTGAAACCTTTGCATCCTGAGATTTCATTTGTTAAGTAGGAGACACAAATATTCCAAAATATACCAGGCAAGTTGCAGTTGTGATGTAAAGATCTTGATATAGTTTTACCTGACAAGTCAGTTGTCTTATTTGGCTTAACTATATATTACAATATTATTGATTTAATATTGTATATTAAATCAATAGGGCTATTAGGCAATAATACAATACAAAGTTTCAAATCTTGTGCTGTGTAACTCTTCCGTTGGTTATTGCATATCATCCTTATAATGCTGTGGCTTTTCCCAGCACACATTCTTTGCAGATTTTCTCCTTGCATCCATTTCTTGTATTTAATTGTACACTTTGGTGTTAATATCATTTTACAATATTGGTACTAATGTGGTGCAGTGACGATCATGTTTACGATGCCTTCTCCGTCATCCTGTTTGTGTTCTTTGACCAGAGAATATCATTAATCTCAGATCTCTGCAGCTGCTGATCTGTACACCCCCCCCCCCCGCTCCTACTGAAAATCTTCTTAAATAGCATTCCCTCTAAAAATGCCTTCATCAAAAAGAAGTGTCTTTATTATATTTCCAGTGT